ATAAAGTAGTGTACCCAACACCCCCAAAACCCCCCCGCCCGGCTGGGTGGTCTGGGGAATTCTGGGAGTTGAAGTCCATAGTTCTTAAAGCTGCCAAGGTTGAGAAACACTGCCGTAGATGAATGCATGTATTCATGGTTAAGTTGGGAAGACCAAATGATTTTTACCTGTTAACAAAGATATGCAAAGCTTTCCAAGGAAATGTTGTGCACAAAAAGGAGTATTTTGTTGGTTTGTTTGTTTAGAGCTTGAAACAAAGCATTGTACCCCCAAATTGCATCCAACTGTTTCAGATTAGCTGTAGTTCAGTGAAACAAAGTTTGATGTTTGGTGTTCTCATCAAAAGAGTTTTAAGTGTTTCAGTGATGGGAAACAGTGGGGTTCAGAACAAGCCTCCTGGGTTGAAAAGAATTTGGATAGCCACTAGACAGTAGCAAAGAAATCTAAAAAAATCTAAATTCTTTGCAGCCATGAAACAGTCTGGTTTTTTTGCTGTCCAGATGTAGTAGCCTTAGCCCTAGCATTCCGTGAGTTCAGTGCAACAATAATTTCCCCTGGAGACATAGGTATTTTCATTGAAAGAATGTAAGGGAAAAGATTACTAGTAGCTGGGTCTAGTTCTCTTACAGAACCTTTTCAATTTCCTTCTGGGCAGGAAGGCATCCTGGCAGAAAATAGTAAATTAATTCCAACCATTACTTTAAAAATGTTCTAAGCATAGAATAGCTGCTGTTCTCATTGTTTTGTACATTCCTGTCCAAAGGCACTACATCAATTATCCCTTCAAAGTGTTGAGTCAGCTTTCAAAGTTACTTTGAGAGCTTTTACAGGTTGTTTCCATGTGCACATGCATGGATAGCTACTTATGAAACTTTTCTGTCCATGTAAACTTAGGCATGGACAATGTGGGAAAGTCTTCGAAGCAGCTATGCCAAGCGTTCTAGGTGACTTAGATGCCTATAATATTGAGGAGGGAAGGGTCTTGAAAGAGTCTTCCAAATGTTTTATACAGCCACAGCTATTAATGTTTGTTTCAGAATAGGCTTTGATACAAAATATATGATGTACTGATTTTATATGAAATGTTTTGGATTTTATAGTTGGTTTATTTTTCAGGTTTGTATCTACTCTCTTGTTTAGGAGCTTAAAGTAGCATATTTAGGACTCCCTCCTATTTTTCTCCACAGTAACAACTCTGTGGGATAGTGAATAGATGTAGATCTTTCAGCTACTTTGAAACTTTTAGTGTCTTATGTCTTTCCA